AAAAAAAAAAAAACCCACACCCAAAAAACTAGTAAATATTGAAATTAAACATAAAGGTCAGGATTATTTTTAAAAATACAGTGTTAATAGCCTTTGAACCTCTCTCATATCAGGTGTGAATGTAGCAAACCTGTTGAGATTTTTCTATTATAAGCTGACTGTATAGATGTAAGCTTTCTATATTAGGAGCAAATCTATATCCCGTAGATTTTGTAACCTTGCTAAAGGGCTACTGTGAGTAGGATTTTGGTGGTGTATGGCTCTGGGTAGAAGTGGAAGTCATAATGGCAGAGCAGTTTGTATTACTAGGCCACTATAATACTAGATTTAAGCTTGGAATAACTTTTGCTGCACAAGCTAACCAGGCTCGAACATGAAATTATGTATGAACAACCTGAGGAAATGGAAGGGCTACGTTCTAGAAATTCTCCAGGGAATCTGAAAAGAAGCTAATGACTTCCACAATAAGCTAAGTCCCAGTGTGACAAGGACTAATGATGTGTTTCTAGGCAGTCCAGAAAGTTCTGTGTGATATTTTGTCATTTACAGAGGTCGTGACTCCATCCTGAATGGAGCACGCCTGTTTCCTGATGTTTGCTAATGACTATTATTATACTTTCCTTTTCTAATTGCTCTTAAAGGGCTACACAGCAGCTGCATTGTTAGGAGGCAGGAATCAAAGCTGAGAGGTGAGGGAGTCAAGAGCGAAGGCGGACCTGAAGCCACAGGAATCTGCCTGCCCAGGTGCCTGTGGCCTTTGCCCCTGTGGCCATGGCCTGTTGTGTCCTGGCCTATTCTGTGATGTCTCATATGAGGAAGCTTTACAGAGAAGCTCATTCTTTCTTTTGGGTCACTTGTCTGAATTTTTTCTGGTTAAAAGAGTGCCATTTTGGATGCTGTCAATAATCTGCTCGGTTTTCCTGGCCTTGCTGTTCTTCTTAATCTTTCTCAGTTTAATCCACTTCAGCTTTTGCAAGAAATGTTCTAATTTTTCACACGCACACGCCCTTGGGGCACTGGGTGACAATTCAGTACAGCTGAATTCTTGGTCTGTGTCCCCAGTGAACTGGCTACTACGTATTTAAGTGGAATGTGTCCAAATGACACAGCAGTGGTCTATTTAGATAGAATACTGATAAGAACCACAAAACACCAACTCTTGATGAATTTTAAGGTCACAGATTAAAGGAATAGCCACTTACTTTGGAGTATATTTTAAGAGTGACTAGCTCCATAAATAGTAAGTCTGAGTTGTTGTCCTAACACCTACTGGAAAAGCGTAATAGGATTTCAGTGAGAACAGGTTGAACTGTTGTTGAAAGGAGTTAAGTTAAAGGCCGACAGTGGAAGCCCTTATTTCTAAGTAGTCAGATTGAAGTTCTCTATGCTAATAACCAAGTCCTGCAATGTGCAGCCCATCTACAGAAAAATTATCTTTTAGCTGCTACACTCAATTCCTACTGACACAGCATACTTAAAAAAAAAAAAAAAAAAAAAAAAACTACATGTAAAAGGTCATAGGACTGATTTTTAATTTATAGCTTATGTCCTACTCAGTTAACGACCTTCTTCTTAGAACACACATTCCCTTGGCTGGATATAGCATGGGAATTTTGGGGTGGAACAGAGTACACACCAGAGCATTTCTTAACGGCAGCTCTTCCCTTGTCTCAGGCTCACATGGCTCCTTTGGGAATCAAGCTTGGGGGATATTACAGCTGTGGTTAAGCCTTGCTTCAGGTAGCCCCTGGAGCCTGCTGCAGATCTGCCTCATTGTCTTCTCATTCCTAGTGGAAATATTTGCTTTGGGAGTATTTTGTTCTAAATAAACAAAAGTAATTGCTTTCTATTGCAACATGAGACCTCAGAATAATTTGGGAAGTTGTTATATTTCAAACATATAGAATTCTGGGTTTTTTGTTTGTTTTTTGGGGTTGTTTTGTTTTTCCTATTTATTCAGGAGTGCATCAGGTGTTTCACACTGCAACAGAGTTTCTGTAGTACTTACTGCCTTTCTGCACACCTAATGAACCACATTAGTAACTACGCCATTCAAAGTACATATATGCTACTTTATTTTACTTGGAAGCAATAAGGCTTTGTCTTTCTTTTCATTTTGTTTCTTACAAACTGTATATAGGTTTGCTTTCTGAACCACAGATTTTGTTGTGTTAGACTAGTGCAACACAATGGACGTGAATATTCCTCTAAATTCAGCACAAAACATATGTTGTGTGGGCAAAACAGTGTCCAGGAATAAAACTGCATATAAATTGGCTGTCATTCAACATTCTTCTCTTATGTCCTTTTTAGTGCTTTATGCAGATCTTCAATTTGGTGACTGCAATTGCAGCAGTTTATATAAAATGATGAAAATGTATATTCTGTAGCTTTGTAATTTGTAGCTCTGAAAAACTGTTTCAAAAATAATAAGTGTGCACTGAAGAGTTTATAGCAGCCACTCTGCCAAATTACTTTTCTGCTTTAAGAATTCTCTTCACTGCCTCCACAAGTCATTCAGACGTGACTTCGCCGAATGACTTTGTATTCCAGATTAGTACAAAAATGTAACTGACAGTAGTATTGTATTTGCTAGCAGTAAACGAGCAAGTTGGTAAAAGAAACAGTTTTTGTTAAATGGTGCTTTGAAGATTATGCAAAGGCTTTTCAAAATGTCTGATTGCTTTTTCTTAATCTTTTATTCAGCTTTCTTCAATTAATTAGCAAAAAGTACCATACTGTTTATTCAACAAGATTCACTGTGGACATTGCCAATCAAATCAGCTTTAATGATTAAATCCTCTGGAAAAGTAATAGTAACTTGGCAATTAATGGAAAGTTTTCTCACTAAATGCAATGTGAGGAGAGTAGCTGTCTTATTTCAATGACTTTTAAGCCTATTTCAGCATTCTTTGAAACATGTGTCACTGTTTTATGACTTCTGACCATGTATTCTGACATTACCAAGATATCTGAATGCCTCAGTGTGTATATAATACGTATCTCTCCTCACTCAAGGACATGGCCTAAACTACCTAACTTGTATATAATTTTTAGTTTAATCAGCATTAACTTTTTGTCTGGATTGATAACTTCATTTTTCCAGAGGTGGGAAAGAGGAGAGAGAGGAAAGAGATGAATGAGGCTGACGTGAGATGTGGCTGCTGCCCAGGTCAGTGACTAGGAGAAGGGACCTATTGCACCCTTTGCGCAAACCTTTGTGCAGGTGACTTCCCACCAGCAACACTGAGCAGAAGCTGTGGCCTTTGTGGTTCAGTAGAGACAGAGGAAGAGCTGCTTTAGTTTTGCTTCCTCACTTTCTCTCATTGCAGAGCTGAAGCCCTTCACTGCAGGCATCCTTACATAGGTATCTTAAAAACACCCAGCCTACTCTGAGTGAAACCCACAGATCAGTTGCTGAGGTTTGTCTCTAGAGGGAGATTAGAGCTGAAAATCTGAGGGAAATACCTTATGATCTAAAATATCCTTAGTTTTGCAGATATGGCAGAACCTTAGGACAAATCATGGGCTCTATTATTTTCCTTTGCTTTAGAAGCCTATTTTTAGGCACTGAATACTGCAATATATGAGTACTTCTTTACTGGCCAAAACTAGCTGTGCAGTACAACTCAGAAATCCATGTCGGTATCTTATGTTTGGGGGGCAAATTAATCTATAATAGAGCTAACCAGCTCTACAAATAACTTTCTAGACTGATGAAAAGTCAGTGGTCTGAATTTCAATATTCAATATTCAATGTTTGTATGGTGTATTTAAAAAATACTGAACTAGATCAATTCTAATGCACTTGAAATTCTTCAAGAATTCACTGCTATGAACAGTACATATCCCTATTCTCTAAGAATAAATGGTGCTTGCAGGAAGATATATTCCATAGTAGTTTATAGGATCTCTTTCGAGTGACATTTTGTACCCAGTTAGCATTATACTCTGTAGTACAGGTACCATCGCTTAAAGCTCTAACAACAGCTTTTCCTGAAAGGAAAATAATATAATTGGTTTACGAAACTCTTCTTCCCTTGAAAAGATATTCTGCATTTTACTTTTGTTAACTGTTAAACTTCTTCACAATGCCTTCTTCCCAAAGAAATGCTTCCCACACTTCCCCTCCGCTGTTTTTTAATCACATTCAAAAAATATATAAGTAACATGCACCAATAAATGCTTGAATTCTAGCTTCCTATAATTAACTACTAGTAATTGCTTGCTTTACAGTGAGTTGTACAAAGACAAGTGTATTAAATTGAACTATACACTACTGAAGCCATAGATCTCCAGGGGCATAAACTATTGATCACCTCTCATTACACAAGAAAAAAATCTATGCATAATAAAAGAGAAGAAAAGATAAGAAACTGGATTAATCTGTATTACAGGAACAAACTGTTACTGTCTAGCTACCCAGACTGCATGCCTCCAATTATATTTAATTATATTTAAAACAAAAGGTTTACCTTTCATAGTCAGTATATTAAGCAGTCTAGTCACAGTTCCAATGTGGTAAGATGATATATTGTCTATCAGCTCAAGACTTCAGAAAGATACTTTAAAAGTCTCTAAATATTGGTTAGAGGAACTTAAGCTGAGGAAGACCGATTTGGAGGGAAGAATTTTTGGCTGAATCTGCTGCACTTGTGCACCTGCTGTGATAAATACAGTTTATACAAATTAGCTAGGTCACCAGTTCATGGCTTCTAAAGAAGGAGTTCAGCTCCAATGTGAGCAATAAAGTGGCAGAATTTATAATAGACTGTAGTTATATATAACATGCGCTCTTTTTCTTAAGGTCAGAAGGGGCTATTGTGAACTTTCATGCCAGGAGATGATAAAAAAAATCTTAGAAGTAAGACAGAGCGCTTTAGATGTCAGAGAATCTCAGGCAGGTAAAGGTAAAATGGGACATCACAGCAGAACAAAAATAGACCAGAAAAGCTCAGGATGCATAGAAATTTTTGTACCAAGTGCTAAAATGGAATCCCTCTACCAGCCTCTTCCAGCAATCCTTTAGTAGCTGCCAGGACTTGAATGCTTTCATAGGGAGAAAGGGGAGAACACTGTCGTGCTGCCTTTTCTGCCCCTCAGTAAACCTGAATGTTCAATTCAAAATCCAGAAGCTACAGCCCTCCCCACGTCTAAGCAAAATGGGTCACCTTCTAATTAAGAAAGGAAACGTATCACAGAGCTAACACTTGCTTCCTAATTCAGCAGAGCCCTCCCCGGGAATGCAACCTGTGGGAAAGGAGGGCTCTGACCTGTCTTGTTCCCTTTCTGTACTGAAAAAGAGCACAATATATTAAGCAAACCTATTTTCATTACCTCTTCCAAGCAGTTTCTTACCATGCTCTGCAGATTTAGGGCCTGTTTTCAAGTACCATTAAGATGCATTTAAAAATAAAGTTAAAAAAAAAAAAAAAAAAAGCCTCCAAATCTTCTAGTTCATATTCCAAGCTAATTTCTGCCTGGCACCCTCCTGCTGCTTCCTTCAGAATAGCTCTAAAGCAGAAAACCCACCGGTGAGGTCATCCCTGTATTAGGCTTAGCTAAACCAATCAATTTACTAAGTGAAGTCCTACAAGGTGACCTGGAGGGAACCCTCACCCTGCAGACTGGCAAGGGAGATGACCCGACAGGATCTTCCAGCCAGGGGTGTTTTCATTGCTTTATTTATTGGAACTCTTTTTGGAAATGAAGCAGTTTTGACATTTTTGGGGGGCGCTCTGATAGCATCTCCACTTTTGGGTGGCCTTTCTGAGGGGAATGAGAGAACCAAGGCTAAAACATTTCTGGTTTCTACTAATGGAAAAATAGAAGTTATGTATCTGCACATATATATATATATATATTCTTCTGTGATGGAAAACTCTTTCCTACCCACTCTTTTTCTGTGATGTCTGCAGAAGTATATGGCTAATTCAAAATATATAATATGTGTTATTGGTTACAGTAACCTAACGGGGAGAGGGCACAAAACAGCACCTGGTGATTCTGGGGCCGGATTTTTCTGTTACTGCTTCTCCACTGCAGCAGTGGGGATGAGGTTCCTGCTGACCTCCCAGAGGCTTTCATTTAACAGGGGTAGCTTCAAAAACCTCTGCATCTTCTCCCTGCCTCAGCCCCCAAGAAAAGCGGGTGCAGAAAGGGCTGCTGTGCAAGAGATGTCAGTAAGCTGATGTCAGTAGCTGCATTCCTGCTGCTGCAGATTTCTGAGAAATGGGGCAAATGCACCTGTTCAAGAGGGCAAGAAATGCTGGCAGCTACGTGGGTATTTATTTCATATATAATGAATATGTGTGTGCACATGTTCGTGAGCCAGTGCATGGGCATATGCTGTTCTGAACCTCTCCTGCTAACTGCTCCACTTGCTGTATTTACTGCAGGGGCTCCTGGGCAGTGCACAGGTCTCTTATGCCAAAAAGATGCTCCCTCCATCTCCAAACCCTTGCAGCATGGTGTGTGTGGCTGCGTGGATGCCCCTTGCACTTCGGGAGACTTCCCTGTTTTTTTTTTTCCTCCCCAGTATCCAAAGAGGAATAGTCTTGGAATGGAGAAAGCTCTCAGTGCGCTGACAGCGGGGAGGAAAGTCCTACTTCACTCCCCAGTGAGCTGGGGATGAATTGGCTCTGCATAGCAGGGTGCCCTCTCCTAATCTATTGAATGGCTGGAAGATGAGCCCAAACCAAGACAAGGACCTGCCAGAACTGCCACCCCTATCTCTTCTGTCCCCCAAAGATCTGAACCCTCATCCTGAAAAGCAGCCTCGTGCAGTGCCCAAGCCGTCCTAGGGCAGAGGCAGAGCTGAGGTCGCGCTCCCCGTTCGGCACCGCGCACAGCTGGAGCTGGAGCCCTGCGCGGGGCTGGAGCTCGGAGCGCAGCGGGAACCCTGCGCGGAGCTGGAGCCCTGCGCGGAGCTGCAGCCCGGCGCGGAGCTGCAGCCCGGCGCGGAGCTGCAGCCCGGCGCGGAGCTGCAGCCCGGCGCGGAGCTGGAGCTCGGAGCGCAGCGGGAACCCTGCGCGGGGCTGGAGCCCTGCGCGGAGCATCGCCGGGCGCGCGAGCGGGGCCGGGGCTCAGGGATGCTCCGGGCAGCGCCGCAACTTGCGCTGCGCTCGGCTCGTGGCCCCGCGCGCCGCTCTGCCACCCACGCCGTCCTGCCCGCATCGCTCAGCCCCGAGGGAGACGAGGTTAAGAAGTGTCCAGGGAGCAGACCCGTGCGGACCGGCGCTCCAGGTGCTGCCGAGCACCTCGCTCTCTTTCTCCTTTTGCTTTGCCCTCCCGCCCCGCTGTCTCTCCCGCACCCGCTCTCCGCAGCGGTGCCCCGGCACGACGGGCGGGCGCTGCGGGCTCCGCGGCGCTGCCACCTGCGGGAGCAGGTGCCGGCCCGCGGGGCAGCTCGCTCCACGTCCACCTCGAACTTCCCCCTCGCAGCCGCCCCCGCATCACTCACCGGCGCGGCCCGCCCTGCCATGGGCGCCCGCTGGCGACGCGGAGCGGAGCGCGGGCAGCGCGAGCGAGCGGCACCGAGCGCCCGCCTCGCCTCGCCTCAGCG